TTTTTTGCTGACAAACATTCAACTTACAAAATCCAACTATGCATCATTTCAATGTTTTCATTTCATGGTTTAGTGAATAAAGACCTTTGAATATAAATAAAATTTATTTTGCTGAATCAGTTCTATTATGATTTTAGGTTAATCTGGAAGAAACAATGGGTCCAAAGCTTTATTAGGTGCACATAATAGAGTGGCCACTAAGTTTATCATTGATATAATAAAAATTAATTGACACAAGCATTGGTTAGATTAGTGACATAGGCTGTTCATGAGGACAGAAGCTAGCCAAAGAATTTGGTGACAATGGCTTAAGGCAAAAAAAGCAGGATATGTTTTGGTGAAATCCTGCCCTGCCTCCAATGTTGTCTATTCATAGTGGTGTTTGTTGTACAAGGGCAAAGTGATCGTTGGTGCTAAGGTGAAAGAGGATCGATTTCATTTAAAGGGACCCATTTCTTCTCAATGACGTCATTTTAACCCTGCAGATAAAAACTTTGCCGTTTGGCATGAATGGTAATGTTTTCATTACAGGATTAACATGCCTTCAGTGACTGTCTGGAAGACAGCAACTAGTGGAGCTTATGCAGCTAAACTCAAACAGACACTATTGACTGTTCCCTATCTCCCCCAGATGAGGGTGCACCGAATAGCGCAGGGGAGCTTTGCATGGAACTAGATTACGATGAGCTAAATTTATTTTAAAATGCTCTAGGAATGATTATGGAAGGGGAACAATAAAATAATGCCAATAGGGTATTAAAGTAATGTCCAGTTGATAATAGTTCCTAAAAGTTTTTAAAAGCACCACAGCCTTAGCCCATAAATTAAATTAATCTGGCCAGTTATTTTTGTTTATTCTTTTATTATTTTTAATTAAGGTCATATTGCATATAAGAAATATTCCTTTTAAGGCTGGCACTAACACTATAATCTGGCATGTGCCATTGAGGGAAGATACTGTGTGAATTACTATACATTCAACAGGTAGGAGTTCTGATTTCTTTCATCTTGTTCAGAGAAGTCAGGAACTGCCATGGATTTAAAACTGAAACCCTTTCTTCCAATGACAGATTAATTTAGATTTGAAGAAATGATAACTGTGTAATCCTAGTGATCTCAGCAGTTAAGCAATAATTTCACATACAGTATATCGATTACAAAGGACTAGCATCAAAGGAATCTACCACTATCCACTTATCTTTTAAATTTTGTCCAAGACATTTAAATGATGCCACTGGCTGTCACTTATTCTGGAAAAAAAGATATGAACAAAATAATGAAATCTATTAATCTAAACATGAACCATCTTATATTTATGAGGCCATCCCTCATAAATTAAAAAATCAAATCAAAAAACTAAATTAAAAAAGCTAAGAAAACGTTTGAAATTCATACCACAAAATAATATGCAACTAATTTGTTTTGAATAGTAAATTTAACTTTAAAATTTGTATAAAATGAGAAACCAAGCATAGTTATTCTTCATTAGATAAAAATAGCAATAACATGTTTTCATTCTATAAGTGGACGGAATATCAAGCTTAATGTCCAAACTTAGCAACGGTATAGAAAGAAATTTCTGACGCTAATGTATTGAATGTGTTGGAAGCTTATCAAAAAATTAAGATGCATTTATTTATGTGTGCTAAGCATGTGCATGGAAAAAATTTTCGGTTCTGTTCGGCATTCCAAAATTCGGGTTTTCGGCAACTTCGGCACTTCGGCACTTCAGAAATTCGGTAATTTCAGAACTTCAGCAATTCGGCACTTCAGCACTTTGACACTTCGGCACTTCGGAATTTCGGAACTTCTCTTGCAGCCGCTTGGTAGATAACTCCCTAATTCCCACGGTATTAGGGAGCTATCTACCAAAAAGCTGAAAGACCTAAATTGGTCTTTTAGCCAAATTTACTAATATTAAGTAAAAATTACTTAGTATTAGTAAATTGTGCTATACCGCGAGTAGGGGCATGTCTATTAAACAGTGAACAGCCACTGGCTAAAAAATAAATAAATTTAAAAATGGGTCCCCCCTCCCGAGGCTTTTAAACTAAAGGGGGGCCTAATGCCCCCCTGGCCCCCACCCCTGAGCGGCGGGTGGGGGCCCTAAAGTAAAATAATGGGGGGGACCTATTGTCCTCCCCCCGGCCCCCACCCCTGAGCGGCGGGTGGGGGCCCTAAAGTAAAATAATTGGGGGACCTATTGTCCTCCCCCAGGCCCCCACCCATGAGCAGCCGATGGGGGCCCTAAAGTAAAATAATGGGGAGGTGACCCAGAGCAGTGAGTGGGGGCCCTAAATTAGAATGAGGGGGGACCTAATGTCCTCCCTCCTGGCCCCCTCCCCTGAGCGGTGGGTGGGGGCCCTTAAAACTAATTAGAGGGGACCTATTGTCCTCCCCCGGCTCCCACCCCTGAGCAGGGGTGGGGGCCCTAAAGTAAAATAATGGGGCCTGAGCGGTGGGGGGGGGCCCTAAAATACTAATTGTGGGGGACCTAATGTCCTCCCCCCTGGCACCCACCCCTGAGCGGTGGGTGGGGGCCCTAAATTAGAATGAGGGGGGAGGACCTAATGTCTTCCCCCCTTGGCCCCCACCCCTGAGTGGTGGGTGGGGGACCTAAAATACTAATTAGGGGGGGACCAAATGTCCTCCCCCCTGGCCCCCACAACTGAGAGGTGGGTGGGGGACCTAAATAAAAAAATAACCCCCTCCCTCCCCCGGGTGACTATGGGTCCCCAATCCCCTAGTCACCCCCTCCCCAAAAAAATTAACCCCTACCTATCCCATCACCCTAAAAATAATTAGGGGGGACCATTTAACTAAATACCTGGAAAAAAAATAAAACTTACCATCTGATGTTTTCTTTTTCTAAAATCTTCTTTTTTCAGCCCCAAAAAAGGCCAAATAAAAAGCCATAATAACCGACGCACTTTAAAAAGAAAAACGAGTGCAAAAAAAAAAATCCATCTTCACCCGGCGAGAGCTCCACGCAGTCTGAGCTCTGCAGGGCGGGGGAAGGCTTATAAAGCCTTGCCCCGCCATGCAATTAGGCTCAGAGCACTCTGATTGGTGGGTTTAAGCCATCCAATCAGAGTGCTCTGACAGGTAAATTAAGAGACTGACAGGTAAGTCTCTACATTTACCTGTCGCAGCACTCTGATTGGTTGGTTTGAAATCCACCAATACGAGTGCTCTGTGTCATTTTACACAGCGTGGGAAAGTTCTTTGGAATTTTCCTACGCTGTGTAATTTGACTCATAACACTCTGATTGGTGGATTAATTAACCAATCAGAGTGTTATGAGTCAAATTGCACAGCGTGGGAAAATTCCAAAGAACTTTCCCACACTTTGGAAATTCGGTATTTTCGGAAGTTCAGGACCTCGGTAATTTGGCACTTCGGCAATTCGGCTATTCGGACATTCGGAAGTACCCGAATGTCCGAATTGCTTGAAATTCGTCCGAATTGCTCGAAATGCGTCCGAATTCATATTCGGCCCGAAACGAATTGCACATGTCTAATGTGTGCTTGATGGCAGGGAAGAAAAAAATGAGTGCAGCAAAGAACCACTTATAACTTGTGAGCTGCATCACCATCCCATTTTTTTATGGGTCTTTGAAGACGAGAGTTAGGTTCAGTGTTACTTTTTTCATGCATTTCCAAGTATGCCCAGGGAAGCACGTGCAAATTTCTTGTTACATGGATAATAAGTGACAAATACAAAATAATTATAAACATTGTTACATATACAATACAATTAATATATATTAATAATGAGTCTCATTGCTTTTTGAATAAAAGAGATGAGATGAGAGATTTTCAGATTTTCAGACTGGTGGCAGATTTGTTATTCTCTGGCAGGTTATTTTATGTGAATTAAATACTGGGCCGGTTTCCACAAAACCACCATGCTCCAGCAGAGTACACAATTCAATCCAGCTTTATTAGTATGAACAACATTGGCATTAGGAACTGCACCACAGAGGGGAGCCAAAGCCTAATGTGCTTCAGACCCAGAGTTCCTTAGGTCCTTTCTCATAGGTTATTCCATGTGCTTTGAGCAATTTGATTGTCCAACGGACCAACACCAGTTTTGAGTTGCGTCATGGAAGTAAGGATCAGGAAGTGTAACTGAGGACATGAGGGATGATGATAGAGCAGTGAGAATACGCCTCAGGTTGTGTGGGATTATTCCAGTGAAATGGTAATGAACCAAACAAAAATGGCTATGGGTAAGGGTCTATGAATACTATTTTTTTCCCCATAAACTTCCATAGAGAATTTGGTATTCAGTAAGCAAAGTAATGTGATGGGTTTTGGAGCTACTATGTCTGCAGTAGCTACTATTTGTCTCTATTCCTGTCACATTTTATTGCATGTGATTACTGTTAGTAATATAATCAACAAAAAAAGATGAAGTCATAACAAGCGTGTTCCAGGAAATGATAAATAAAAGTAAATGAAAGGTGTTGAGCAAATACACAAAGGCACTAAACGGCTTTTTCTTAAAGTTCATTCCAGCTATTGCCCCTATAAAATACATTTACTAAATATCTTAGAATTTGTAACTGACAGTTTATCACTGAAGCATAGTAAAGGACAGCTATTTCAATTGGATAATGCTTTTCAATAATGATATAGCAATTTTCAGATGTAAATAATCAAGATAATGCAAGGTTTTACCTATTTCTATAAAACTACTCATGTCTACACAATTACTGCAACTAAAGTAAAATACCTCAACTCCGGCTGACCCTAACACTATCTAACCATATCTAATCATTTTAAACCCTATGCCATCATTTTTATCATTTTAAACCCTAGTTAAACCTAATCCTAACTAGCCTTAACTCTAGCTAATCCTAACCAGCCATAAACTTAAATAAAACTAACCTTAATTGTACAATATTTAGCTTGTCCGCCAGGATAAGTGATTGCTTTAGAGCCAATCACAGTGATAACAAGTCTTAGATGACAGTTATTACAGTTATTATTTTTCTTATTATCTCTCTCTCTCTCTCTCTCTCTCTCTCTCTATATATATATATATATATATATATATAGAGAGAGAGAGAGAGAGAGAGAGAGATAATATATATATTATTTATATATATTATATATATTATTTATATAGCACCAACTTATTCTGTAGCACTTTACAATAGTATAAAAGCGGGAAAGGGGGATATTGTTTTCTAAAGATCATATGACACATTCGGTAAAGCTGGATTCCAGTGTAGCATGATGAGTAACACACCACATCCTGTAATTAACTTAATTAATAACTTAATTGTGTAAATCTACCTTATTTAAGGAGAGCTAAACTGCATTGTTCTTAACTATTTTAATTTGTTTGTAGATGGCAAGTAAGGCTTTTCGTCACGATGATTGGGTCTCAGGGCAATCAAGCAATCAGGGGCAAATTAATCGCTGTTACTGCTGAAGCAGCTCAGTAAGAGGGCCTCTGACATCTTATCCTGGCATCCTCTGTTGCAACTGGCTGTCATGACAATTCCAAGCTTTGTAACTGATATCTTGAGCCATTACTGGAACAGTACATGCCAGTATGATTTAAATGAACTAAAGGTCCAGCGATAGGCATGCAATCAGTGGGGATGGCTTTTGTTGGGCCACCTCCAGGCTGGTAATTTTGTAATGTCTCATTAGTGAGGCATCCTGAATAAACCCATGCCAGATTTTAAGAGCACTTTGACTGTGATGTACAGTGTACTTTGTACTTACTTATCACCAAGTGCATAAATGATGTTGTACACTGTATGTTGTTTGTCATGAAAGGGTTAAGTATCAAACTCAATAATATTAATGGTATTATAACCGGTGATTACACCTCATCAGTTGTTTTAGTTAAACATCTTGATGGCAAACAATAATCTGTCAAAGAGTGCAATAATAAGAATACATTTCTGAGTATAAATGATACATCCCAGGTTATTCTAGTTCATACAAATTTCCAAGGAACATAGTCAATTGAAAAATCCCAGGTGGAATTTGTATAATATGGGTACATTTTGAATTAATTACCATCCTGTGACTTCTCTTTTATCTATGAACAAACAGTGGGTTATATTTTATTAACTTGCGGCAAAATGTAATTACCGTAGACAATAAACAGTGATAAGTGCAGTGAGATATTACCATCCTAGACTGTCAGGTATGCAGCCAATTACATTTCATACTGAAGTAGAAAATATAATTTCATTAGACTTTTTTTCTAGGTTGTAACCTACACCCAAAAAAATACATATTTGGGTAAATTCATAGCTTTGAACTGAATGGGAACATTTAATTAAACTCCAAAAAACATAAAACAAAAAACGTTTGTTCAGAATTAATTTAGTCATTTAAATCAACTCCATTTCTAACATTCCTTCTGTAAAGAAGCCTGCTGGAATCTACTAATAGACTTTTTACCAGGAAGCAGAAATGATTTAAACTAGGTTTGTGATATAAAATTTAGGTCACTTGTATAACTCATCTTTTGGTTGCCTCTTCACGTGTTGTTGGGCTTCCACTGGTTGACAAAGGAAATTGTTAAATTGTCAACACATTTTTTCCAATGTAACATTAAATCCATATCTACAATTTCCTTTCAGGAGAACTTTTGTATGCTAAAACCAGATGAAAATATGAAGAATTCTTATTTTTAATACTATTGCCACTGTTAAGTAAAATAGAATATAGTAGGTGCGTAATCTTGTAATAACATTAATCAAGCATATTTACGCAAAACAGTCACCTTATTTCTTCATAGTTTAGGATGTGAGTCATATGCATAGCTGAAAACCTGTGGGATTTGCCACCGAGGCTGTTGGAATGGTAGGTAGTCTTTCTGCCTTTAGGTCAGTACGGGAAGCTCTAATCAGAGTGAGATGTGCTCAGATACAGCCATTGCATGCCTTGTTCGACAATCAAAATATCAGTATTCCTTTCACTACGCAGCACCAACTGTTTAGTTGATTCTGTTTTAGTGGCCAGAACTGTACATTTTCTTCTCCACTAAAAGAGTTCTCTGAGCTAGTTGATCAGAAACGTTCCAGATATTTCTATATGATTAGTAGTTGGACCATATTTGACAATGTAGTTTTGATTATGGTGGGCTATGAAAAACCTGGGAACCATAGGAAACCTTTTGAGAGTTATTAATTAAATCTGTTATTGGTAGGGAATGACAAGGAAGCTGAAAATGTTAAATCAAAATAGCAGATTTGGCAAATCTCAATGATACAAATATAGCTTTCTTGGCCTATAAATGTAAAATCCATTGTGAATTCACATCAGTTCCTGGTTTAATGAACATTTCTGTAGGAAAGTCATAATTACTCAAATGAACTACAAGACCAAAAGCCATGAGGTGTATCTTTTGTCATGTGTATAAAATATATCACTTATTTTTCATGCTTATTTTCAGATATATTAATCTTAGCATATGTATCAATTTATTCAGGAATACTAAAACTCATAGTCACAAATGCATCAAGATAAAGTATTATTTTTGGACTATTAACTAAATTATATTTGAACTGTCACATGGGTGCATTTATAAATATCACAATCATATTTTATTTATATATATATATATAATTTATACTGTGTCTTGTTAAAGAAGAAAAAACAGTTTTAAAATTTCTTTAAACAAATGTATTGTCATGGTTAAAAATATTACATAAAATGCTATTTAAAAATGGTTTCCATAGAGATGAGTTGTCACCTTATACCGCAAAACAAATGTGAAGTGGCTTTATCTATATCCTGCATATTTGAACGCCTTACTGTATAACCCAGGAGAAATTTTACCAGACGAAATTACAAAAAATACATCAGAACAGATAAATACAGCAGTATAGGTTGATAATGTAGGCAGATTGTCTATAAATAACCTTTGAATAACATCAGACACATTACTTTTTGGTGTCTTCAAAAATAGAAATGCTTCAAAGACCTTAAGTTCTTAAACTACACTACAGTTTACTTAATGCATGCCAGGATGTACCCGTCCAGGGTCCATACCTCTGTGACAAATGTGTGCGAGTGGCTTCTCTGGAAGCTCAGATTGGAGTTCTCGAGAAGCAAATTGCAACATTGAGGGAGATCGACAATCTTGAGAGGCATCTGGGGAACAGGTACATAGGAAACGGGGAGAAGAAAGGGCTAGCTAGTCCTGATTTTGTGCAACCTAGCAGATTTGCCTGTTTGAGTGAGGATGTTGGGAGCATCAGCTCAGGGGTAGCTGTATTAAAGGGAGCTGTTCCTTCTAACAGCCCAGGGAACAGCCCCTCTTGCATGGGTGGGGATGAAAATGTAAGGAAGGCTAGGCAGGTTGAGGTGGTTGGGGACTCTATCATTAGGAGGGTAGAGAGGGCAATCTGCCGCTCTAATCGGCTCAACCGGACAGTTTGCTGTCTCCCAGGTGCTCGAGTCCGGCATGTTGCTGACAGAGTGGATGGATTATTGGGAGGGACTGGGGATGACCCAGTGGTCATGGTCCATGTTGATACCAATGAAAAAGTAATAGGAAGATGGAAGATCCTAAAGAATGATTTCAGGGAATTAGGTAGCAAACTTAAGAAAAGGACCTCCAAGGCGGTATTCTCTGAGATATTACCTGTGCCACGCACTACAGTGGAAAGGCAGCGGGAGATTAGAGAGGTCAATGCGTGGCTGAAGCCTCAGTGCAGGAAGGAAGGTTTTGGGTTTGACTTTGCGCTTGCGTTATAGCAGTGATGGGTTGCGGGAGAGGGTCTGCAGTGCTGGGGGATAGGATGGTTAGAAGGTTGGAGGAGATTTTAAACTAATTTTGTAATTTACAAAAAAGTACAAGTGACTCTTGATAATATTGATAATTGTACAAGTGACTCTTGATAATATTAAATGTATACTCTTGATAATACTAATGCAAGGAACTTAAATAACAAAATGGGGGAATTAGAGGCAATATCATACACCAAACAATATGACATAATAGGCATAACTGAAACATGTTGGGATGACTGGGCAGTTAACTTAAGTGGGTACACACTATTTAGGAAGGACAGAAAAAACAGGAAAGATGGTGGGGTATGTTTGTATGTCAACCATAAGTTAAAGCCTAATCTTAAGCAAGTGGAATGTGATGAGGCAGACGTGGAAGCTTTATAGGTAAATATCTGCTTGGGGCAAAAGAAGGGAAATCAACTATTGGTTGGCATATAAACAACCTAATGTTAATATTGATGAGGAACAACAGCTGTTTGAGCAAATTGAGAAAGCTGCAAACATGTAACACATTAATTATTGAAGATTTTAATTACCCAGACATAACTTGGTACAGAGAGACTAGTAGTTCAGCAAAGGGAATTAGGTTTTTTGAACTTGTTAAATACACCTTCATGTCACAACTTGTACAAATACCAACTAGAAAGGACGCTTGTCTTGACCTTGTTCTAACAAAAAACGTTGATCTTTTGACCAACATTCAAGTAGGTGAGCACTTGGGACATAGTGATCACAATATAGTATCCTTTGAAATAAACTCAAAAAAACGAAAGCAATGGGCTATACTAAAACATATAATTTTAAAAAGGTCAATTTCTAGTTTAGGGCAGCTTTACAATACATTGAATGGCCTAAACTCTTTAGTGAAATGAACACTGAGGATAAATGGAACATCTTCCAACACATATTAGAAAGGTACATTTCTCAGTATGTACCATTGGGTAATAAATATAAAAGAAACAAATTGAAACCATTGTGGCTTAGTAGAGAAGTAAAACAAGAGATTAACAAGAAGAAAAGGGCATTTAAAGCATTTAAATTGAAAGAATCAGCAGCATCCTACAAAAGATATAAGGAAGCCCATAATGTGTGCAAAATTCGCTAAACTTCAAAATGAAAAAATGATGGCCAAAGAGTGCAAAACCAACCCCAAAGCACTTTTTAAGTACATAAATTCTAATGAAAAAAAAAATGAAAATGTAGGTACACTAAAAACTGGGATGGGGGTGTTAGTTAATGAAGACCATGAAAAGGCAGAGATTTTAAATAACTATTTTTCCTCCATATATATTATGGAAGAACCCGTGGCAATAGATGTGCAA